CAATGTATTTGTCCAGAACACATACACGCTGTTTCGCTAGTGTTCCACTATTCAGCATTTCCATCAAGTCAAATTCCTCATAAGACATTGTGTTCTCTTTCAAATTCTTGTTTTTCTTTTCCATTTTTCTCTTCCCGCTCATCATCTCTAAATGATTTAAATGTGCTAGGTATTTTCTCACAAGACTTTCTTCAACAATGTATCTGTTGCTAAAGGTCTGAACACTTGCACTATCCTCGATATTGATTTCATTCTTTTTGTGGGCTTGCTTTAAACGTGCTCTAGGGTGTTAATCATCCACTTCTCTTCCTTTTTCTTCTGTGGGTGAACCTCTACATGATCACGGGCATATATATTTGCATGACCCTCCCCATTTTAACTGCCCATTTTTCATGACCCCTCCCTTTTCTGAGGCTCAAAAAGTTGTGACCCCCCCCCTCTGTTTCCACCCCCTCTCCCCCCCTGCTAATTTCTGACAAGTCCCTTACATACTCTTTGTTAATTAACTGCGATCGATGTTAGGAGAAATTACGTTTTGATTATTATCGGACTAAAGAATATAAATAATCTATCGGCTGAAACGCAATAACGAGGGTCTGAAAAGAAGGTAAATTAAAAACGGGCATATTTCCATAAAATCCATGGTAAAAAAGCAAAAGTTGACGATAAAGCGCTTCCGGCTTAATCTTCTAAGTGTAAGTACAGATGTCAGTTTATCGACAAGTATTCACCCGTCCCTTGCGAGCTTTCTTATAATTTAAGTGCAACAATGATCTCTTTAACCTTTGTTAAAAATGAGCAAGTAATTTCGTTTAGGAATTTGCTCGCATAACTGAATGGGAAGCTGTTTTCCAAGTGAACGTGAATGTTGTCATTGCGTGTTCGGCACACAGTGAATTGAATAGGTTTAATACCTTCTTGACAGTTTTACTATCTGTAGTTGCATGTTTTGAACAAATAAGTATTGTCACAAATCGTCTTCTGTTATTGAAGGTTTACCGAAAACAGCTTAGCGAGGAAATATCATTTATTGTTTAAACATAATCCAATGTCATATTTCGTAATAAATACTTCAGAACCAGATATAAATAACAGAGACGCCAATTCTCGGACTTCCGTCCTCGAATAAAAGTAACCGAAAGCTGTAGCTAATGGATCTCTGTTTGCCGTGCTGTTTGAAGTACTTGCGACAAAACCGAGTAGACGAACAGTAAGTCCTTAGAATGCCGTAATTTGTAAACATTCAATGATCACTTCAAATTCTCGTATTCGTCCATTTTAGATGATTTTTAATAAGGTAGAAAAATACACACACACATATGGCTTCACTCGCAAGCAGACCTACGGCGGCTATGCACATAACCTCAAAATTTTCCTTCGCGGAAATACCTTCACTCGACAGATTTCCCGCGCAGATCAGCTAACAGTTGATGTAAAGGGGTCAGCCAATTGCGATTCAGCGTTCCCACGCCTTGTCATGTTTGATTGACCAATAGAAAACTTATTCAAACAATCAGGATTGTGGTATTATCTGTCATATGCGTTGTTATGTTATGTGGGAGTTTAAATTCCTTGCATTGAAAATGTACCCTCAATGAATCAAATCGGGGACAAGCTTACTCAAATTCAGTGCTTGCCAAAACAAGAGTAATTTTCTCCTTATTTGAATCGTTCTGAGGCCTTTCCGCTTCAGATCAATATCTTGTCAACCTCCCCGTTCATGATTGGCAAAACAAAATCCTAGAGACAGTTGGGATTTTTTTCCGCTCTTAATTGAGGTAAGTCTTTAACAATATCAACCGATTGACCAGCCTGTCTTCATGTTTGTCTAAGAGTCTCAGTCGGTGTCTAAAAACCACCACAATTTTTATCTCCCAAAAACTCTTTTGTAAGTATTGCTTTCAAATCAAATTTTCAATTATCTCTGGAATGGCCCTCAAACTATTGATAAATAGGATGTTTTATAAGCAATTATCTGCTTCGAGTTTTAAGAAGAAAAATTGTTTTGTCTTCGAAGCACGCGAATAGGCTGCATGCATTTGTTATTGTTAATGTCAGTGGTTCTGTTTATGTATGTATTGAGCTTTTACGCAGTGCCCGTTCTTCAAAGTACTTAATACACATAGGTTAACTGTCAACATCCCGTGTAATGTTCCGTGTCTGTATTTTTATCGATTTCTAGCGTTACAACACAAGTGTTTTTGTTCGAGGTGATTAGGTTAAAGTCGAGTTTAAAAAAACCGATAGCTTTCTTAAAGCAAGTATTTTTTTTATCAAAATTCGCCTAGTCTGCCTGTGACTTCAGTGGTTCTACCTCTGGTAAATTTCTTTCACCCTGTTAATGCGCCAGACATCACGGGTGCCTCAACTGGTCAAAGTTCACAAGATTCCAACATTTAATAAAGTTCTGCTTGTGAGGCCACCTTAGAAATAGAGAACACCAGCGCTGCATTTGAAGGAGAGTTGACTAAAAGGATTTGTTCGAAGCGGAAGAGTTATCACTTGAAAAGAAAGGTACGTCGCGAATGTTTCTCTGAAAAAAGGCGTGACTGCGATCGCGTGACTTTTAAGGTTGTCAACATCTACTCATTCACGTCAAACCTGAGGTGTATCAAGAAAAGTTATCTTTTTAGACCGAATGTCGCTCATTGTAGATTTGTTTAGTATCTCCAGTACTGTGAGGTCTATCCTTTGCCGAAATGCGACAGAACTTTTCAGCCTAGGAAATAACTGAAGAAAATTTGCAGTCGCTGCTCGAAACGCTTTCAGGTGATTCATTAGAGGACGACGATGAAAGAATGAACAACGTTTTCAAGCTCACAAGAAACAGTTCTATTCCAGTTTAAATCGTAGATTTCGCGAATTTATCGTTTAAGTCTACACTATCGTTGGTGTTAAAAGCATCAACTAGTAGTTAATTAAATGAGGGTAAGGGGCGCCATTGTTACCTCTATTGACTAAAACCCGCAAAATATACCACAGTGTAATCTTCATGTTGACGGTGACAGACATTGAGAGAAGGCATGCAAGGCGGAGCACTCTCGAACTGAAAAGGAAACATGTTTACCAGTT